CATCACACTGCATCACAAACCAACTGTCCAGCCAATTGAGCTAACCAACCCATGAAGTGAATGCCTACATGATAGGATGCGACTCAAGGCTCGACACTTCACCCACACTAAGGGTTGGCGTGGAGTCTCAACAGTGCTCCATATGTTCTCACCACTTCTAATGGCTGTTTCTGGATTGATCTACTTCAAAAACAAAATATTAATTTTATTCCTGGAGCCCTCTCTTAGTAGTGGAGCCACACTCTTCTCCTCAGTTTATACTGGCTAATTCTTCAAAGAGACATTTGTGTAGTTGACATTGGAAAACATATAATTGTGATACTTAAAAAGCAGCCAGCAGGTCTTTTCTAAATATTTCTGCTAGGTTCCTGGGTCCCTAACGTACAAGAATGGGCAATAGAACCAACACAAAAGTGTTTGAATGAACTGAGCTGACTGTGTTGGGTGAGAAGGTCTTAGCAGAATTGAACTGAAGGAAGTGGATGGTTCCATTGTCACCTCCATTATAATCCACTGGTGTCCTGAACAAAGTCATCAATTGGAGTCTTTAAGCATGCCTTGAGGTTTCATCACATGATCATCTCCTGCCAACTGTCCTGCCCTACCTTTGATCACCTGGCATTATTCATCACCATGATCCCCACCTTCCCATGACCAATTGAATGTTGAGCAGTCTCTTCCTTACCTGATTGGATAATTCCAAGCTATTTTTTCACCGCGTCCATTATTCTCATTGGTAGTGAACAAAAACATTTTGCAAAAGTTAAAATGCTTCCATTTATTTTAGTGCCCCTGTGATTTTTCCTACTGCTCACAGCAGTATCCAAGAGAATAATCTTTAATTCCTGGAGAATCTAGGGTCATCTTGGGGCATTGCCAATTTACTTTCAAACCAGGTACTATGGCGATTCTGCTGAGTGTAGTTCCCTCCACGCTAATTTAACCAATGAAGTGGACTCTCTGGAGATGATTGGCAGCTTAATATTAATTTGCACTAATGTGTTACGTATTGTGCTGTGACTCCAGCAGCCCTTTCTCATCATCTGTGGGCATCACAGGCATTCATTGCCCATCCCTAACTGGCCTTGAACTGAGTAGCTTGCTAGGGACACTTCAGAAGGTATTTAGGATTCAACCAAGTTCTGATGGGTCTGGAGTCACATTGAAGCCAGACCAGGTAAGGATGACAGATTTCCTTCCCTAAAGGACTTTAGTGAACCAGATGGGTTTTTACAGCAATCAAAGATAGTTTCATGGTCACCATTACTGAGATTAGTTTTCAAACACGGATTTGGTCATCAAATTTAAATTTCACCAGGTGCCTTTCTATAAAGAGGGAGAGAAGCCCACCACATCAGATTAGCATCAACTGTGACGATGCCCAAGTGTCATTGGAACAGAAGGAGGCCATTCACCTTTGATTAGCTTGTTCTACAGTTAGGTCTGTACCTCAGCCCATCGACTTGCCTTAGTTCCATAACCCTGGATAACCTTCCCAATAAACCTTATTTGATCCCATTTTCAGAAACTTCAATTGAGCCTCAGTTTCAACAGATTTTTGGAGCTGGAGATCTAGAATTGGAGTTCCAGGAGTTCAATGAAAAAGTGAGAGTGACAGTATGTAAGAGAGAATGAGACTGTGAGAGAGAGAGAGAGAATGTGAGAGAGACAGTGTGAAGGAGAGAATGAGAGCGTGAAAGGGAGAGAATCTGAAAAAGAGTGTGAGAGAGAGAATGTGAGAGAGAATGTGAGAAAGAGAGTATGAAACTGTTAAGAATAATGTCTGCCATGGCAAAGCAAAAATCCAAATGCCATTTTGTTTCTTTTTTAAGATTAAAGTTCAACTGACTGTGAAGTAAAACAATTGCCACAAAATAAATAGGAAGCTTCATTCTAAATATAAACCATTCCAAACTGTCCAGTGATATCCTTCCCTCCCCCACCGGAGTATTATCGCTGGACTGTTAATCCAGAGACTCAGATAATGTTCTGTGGACCCAGGTTTGAATCCCGCCATGGCAGATGGTGGAATTTGAATTCAATAAAATATCTGGAATTAAGAATCTAATGATGATTGTGAATCCATTGCTGATTGTCGGAAAAACCCATCTGGTTCACTAATGTTCTTTAGGGAAGGAAACTTCATCCTCACCTCGTCTGGCCTACATGTGACTCCAGACCCACAGCAATGTGGTTGACTTTGGGCAATTAGGGATGGACAATAAATGCTGCCTGGCCGGCGATGACCTTATCCCATTAATGAATTTAAAAAAAGAGTTTTTCTACCTTTAACATTTGCTGTTCTGTTCAGCGATCTCACTGTGATTGTATTTTATCCTAAATGAATGTCTGCAATCACAGTTCGAGTTATGAAGCCTGGCGCAAGGATCAGATTCATTGCTGTACTGAAGTCACTGGCCTCTGCTGCTTCTCTAGCTCATTTACTAAGTGCATCAGTGAGGGGCTGTAAGGTTACTTTGGGAAATCTCCCTTCCAACAAGGGACTAAAGCAACAACTCGCTGCAGAATTTAATGACAGACTTCAGACTCAGTGAGGACACAGTGTGGGAAACAGGACTTGCACAGGCTCCTGCCAAATGTCATTGGGGACTTGGAACTTCAGGTTAAAAGAAAGGCCCATAGGATGTCCCAAAGTGTTTTAGAGTCAACGTGCACACAACATGGAACAGTTTACATTGACCTAAGAGCATGACAAGATCACAATTTGCAGTTTTAGCTATCCTGGGAGTGTCAGGGCTTACATTTTATGCTCATTTCTCTTGAACTTCCCAACCTTCTGACTGCCTAATGTTTCAAGAGGCTGTTGAGAAATCCATGGGATGTGATCTGTGAGATTTTTGAGACAAAGCCTGCCACCTGGAAGAGTTGTTACCCAACTTAAAATACACTCACTATTTTCAATAGATGTTGTGATGTAATCCGTTTCTTGTATCCATTTGTACTGTGTAAGCCAGCAATCTGTGAAGGTAACATTTAGGGAATATAGTGTTGCAATAGTCGCTACCTCCCGTACTGCCTAGGAACAAAGGAAGGGCTTTTTGTAAGATTCCCATTAGGTCACTCAGAGCAGTTCAAAGTTTACTGAACAGTCAGTCAAAGTCAGATGGAGAGGACCACACAGGAATAGGCTCCATCCAGGGAAAGTACTGTTGTTAGCTCTACTGCTGAGATGGTGGCTGAAGATCAGTGGCTCAGTGTAATTGAGGCTCAGGAAGAAGTGCCACGAGCTGTCCATGCAGTTAGCACTCGGAGGAGCCATGAAAGCCAGTGGGTGCTAATAAATGTTCTGGTTAGCGTTCAGGAATATCCCTGAGAGCTGTGGGGGTGGCTCAGAAGAAATCTGTGAACTAATAATAGTTCAGTGTGGCTGAGAGTGGGGTGAAGGAAGGCCACAAGCAATATTTACTTGGTGTAGCTGATAAAAATTGGAACTTGGAGAAACCCAGGGGTAGTACCAATATAGTGAAGCTGCAGAAAAGCGGGAACCAGCGAGTGAGGTCTGCAGTACAGTTTCCAGAATCTAGGGGTGTGCAGTCACAGAAAAGGAGAGTGAGCAGTCACTGAGACAATGCATGACAGAGTGGTTTTTGAGGCAGTTCTGAAACTAGGTCTTTGAGAATGAAGAATTTGAATCACGTGTAAAATGTTAAGGAGATTTGGCGACCCACAGTGTCACTAATGTTGGTGGGGATAGATTGCTGAGAAATCTATGGTATCTACCTTAACTATTCATTTGATGTGCTCTGTGGGATGTTCAACCACAGTTTGTCTGTTACCCATTCTTATGTCATGTTAATTCTAGGTGTTAGAATATAAATTGGACATATATTATACATTGATTTACTGTTCTGGCTTTGTATAGTAAAGTTTATTTTGTTTGTTCAAAAATGTGGAAACCTACGACTTTATTCTCTTTGAGGTGTGAAGAACATAGACGTAGCATATTTTCTAAATGCGAAAGGCTTTGTAAATCTGAAGCATAAAGGGACATAGGGGTCCTAGCTCAGGATTCTGTTAAGGTTAACATGCAGGTACAATTGGCAGATAGGAAGGCAAATGTAATGTTGACTTCATTTCAAGAGGGGCAGAGTACAAGGATAGGATGTACTGCTGAGGCTGTTTAAGGCTCTGGTCAGACTGCATTTAGAATATTGCAAGCGGTTTTGGGCCCTGTATCTAAGTAAGGCTGTACTGGCATTGGAGGAAGGCCAGAGGAGGTTTACAAGAATGATCCCAGGATTGAAGAATTTGTCATATGAGGACTCTGGGTCTGTACTTGATAGAGTTTTGAAGGATGAGGGGGGGATCAAACTGAAACTTATAGAATACTGAGAAACCTGGATAGAGTGGATGTAGAGAAGATGCTTCCACTAGTAGAGGAGATAGGACTCGAGGGCACAGCCTCAGGGGGAAGGGATAACCCTTTAGAACTGAGATAAGGAGGAATTTCTTCAGTCAGAGGGTGGTTAATCTATGGAAATCATCGCCATAGAGAGCTGTGGGGCCAATTCATTGAGCAAAATATTTGCCTTCCTAACTGCCAACTGACCCTGCATTTCAACTTTAAGAGAATCCTGAACTAGGACTCCCAAGTTCCTCTGTGCTTCAGATTTCCATAGCTTTTCCCCATTTACAAAATGGGGATTTCAAGACTAGGGGGCACAATTTTAAGGTGAGAGAAGAGAGAAAAGACAGGAGGGTAAATTTTTTTAACATAGCGGGAGGTTCACATGTGGAATGAACTTTCTGAGGAAGTGATGGATGTGGGTACAATTACAGTGTTTAAAAGACATTTGGATAAGTACACGAATAGGGAAGGTTTGGAGGGATATGGATCAGGAACAGGTAGATGGGACTAATTTAGTTTGGGATTATGTTCAGCATGGACTGGTTGGACCGAATGGTCTGTTTCCATGCTGTATGACTTTATGACTCTATATTTAAGACAGAGATAGATAGGTTCTAGATTAGTAAGGGGATCAAGGGTTATGGGGAGAATGAGGTTGAAAAACATAATACCATGATTGAATGATAGAGAAGACCTGATGGGTCGAATGGCCTAATTCTGCTCCTATATCTTGTAGTCTTAGTGAATCCCTAGGATCTCACACTTTGTCCGTTTTAAAAGATGTTACTATTCCCGAAACAGATTGTAACATAAATTTGGCGGTCTGCTCTGGCATCATAGCAATGACCTGAACCCATGTCAGTGTCAGTACGCAGGGCAAAATGAGACAGCGGGAAGAAAAGATAAATAATAATGTCAAATACAAGTACACAAAGTCTTGTTCATCCGACATTCCAACCCCTGATATCCGCAAGAAATCCTGATGCTCCTTGTCCCTCAACAAATAAATTCGGGTCCTTGTCCTTGAATCTCCATAGGGTTTCCTCATGCTTTTCTCTGCAACCTTCTCCAGCCTGAAAGCCGTCTGTACACTACAGCCCTTTGATCTTGGCATCTGGTGTGCTCCTCTTTCCCTTCACCCTAACTACTACAGACAGCCAGCTCTGCCCTCTCCTTAGTATCCCCAGTAACCTCTCACCTTTCATTTCCTTTATTGCTTTCTGCTGAGTTATTTATTCAGCCAGTCTGTGGTTCAACTCTGCTGATTTCTCTTGTTTTAGTTCAGAGATAATATTCTCCATTTATTCCCGTTTCTGAAGTCCATTGGGATGTGTTTTATGAGATGTAAGGTCTTACAAAAAGTGTGAGTTACTGGAACATTTGAATCTGATGACACAGGCCATCAACTCTACGTAGGCTTCTTGCCTCAATAACCTAAAATCATTTCTATTGCTCGTCTATATGCCCATTGGCTTTAACCAGTTGTATTTTGGGCGGGAAGAGGATGGGGAAGATAGTGAGGAATACAGGGATGGAATTGATCCTGCAAGAAAGGGAAATCTATTAATTCCAACCAAAAATTCTTTGCACAACCATCTGGGCCAGGATTTTGAGCCAATTGGAATCTGTTACTTTCAGGGGTTCCACTTCCTTATTGAAATTACAGTGAACATTTTTAATTTAAGTAAAGGATCTATCTGTTTCTAATATCATAAACACATGTACACGGCTTAAATGTATTTAAAATGTCCATTAATATTCAGAATTAGTCACGAACAATCTGTGTAAAAGTCATTCTTAAGCTTTTGAATTGAATTAGTTCTGAGCAGGAGATCCTTTGAAGTTAATTTTCAAAATCATCTTCACTTTTGGCCATTCTCAGAACAGAGATTCCCCGCTGAGCCCTTCTTTGGCTCTACAAAACCACCAAGCCCTTTATTTGCGCAAATCCAACTTGTGTCTGTGCCAGTCTCTCTCTCTGAAAAGAAAGGGCATGTTGTCCGAGCTCCCCGATGAGCACTGCCCACCACCAAAGTCAGAAGTCCAAAGGCCTGATCATCATGCTGGTCGCTTGCAGCGAGTAACTGGGACCCCGGAAGTAATGCCACTTGATGCCATTGAGTTTTCGGATGTTGTTTCCAACTGTGTAGTACATCCCATTCAAATTGGACAGTCCACAGGCATCAAACCACCAACCTACAAGGACAGAGTCACAGAGGATCAGTGGTTACCGGAGCATCTCCACGTTAGATAAAGACAGTACAGCTGATATAAAGAAAAACCAACATTTTGAGCCAATTTCTGCTCATTTTAGGAACAATTTGCGTTTATATAGTTCCTTCACCATTTTTAAAAGCCTCAAGGCACTTCACAAGAGTAGCTCTCAGAAACCAGTGGACGTCACTTTGCATAAAGTGAGGGGAGTATGGTGAAGACCTGGGTTAAAAAGGCTCATGGAGTGTCTTAAAGGAAGCAGAACAGGACCGATTTAGGGAGAGAATTCCAGAGATCAGAATTTAGGCAGCAGAAGGCACAGTGTCAGTGATGGAGTGACGCTAATTGGAGATATGCAAGAGGTCCCCACTAAAGAAGGATGGAGGTCTCAGAAGGTTGCAGGCTGGAGGAGTTTGAATGCATTGGAGTGTTAATGTTGAGGCATTGCTGGACTAGAGACAATGTGGGACAGATGGAGCACATCTGGTAACATCTGGTTTGGGCTAGCTTTTGGAAAATAACCACAAAAGCTGATTAAATTTGCTCATTGATATCCTTTAAGATTGGGGGAACCCAATGCCCTGAGTCAGGTGAACCTACATGTGATCTATGGGTGGGGCTCCCAGTTCTCTTCCAAGTGTCTCTCGTTCATAAATACCACAGCAGCAGCTTTGATGCAATGATGCATTAGTTCATGTAAAAGATTTACCCCCACACTTCTCATGTCAACCTCGTCAGCATTGCCCACATATTGTGAGCAGAGTGAACACCTCAGTGTAGTCTCTAAATGTATGTAAGCCACCTGACCCAACCCAGCAAGGTCAAACCTGTGACCTCCAGGACATAGAAGGACAAGGGCAGAAGGTGAATGGGAACACAACCACCTGCAAATTCCCCTCCAAGTCACTTACCATCCTGCCTTAGAAATATATCACTATTCCTTCACTGTCATAGTCAAAGAACAAAGAACGAAGAAAATTACAGCACAGGAACAGGCCCTTCGGCCCTCCAAGCCTGCGCCAATCCAGATCCTCTATCTAAACCTGTCGTCTATTTTCCAAGGATCTGTATCCCTCTGCTCCCTGCCCATTCATGTATCTGTCTAGATACATCTTAAATGACGCTATCATGCCCACCTCTACCACCTCTGCTGGCAACGCGTTCCAGGCACCCACCACTCTCTGCGTAAAGAACTTTCCACGCATATCTCCCTTAAACTTTTCCCCTCTCACCTTGAAATCATGACCCCTAGTAACTGAGTCCCCCACTCTGGGGAAAAAGCTTCTTGCTATCCACCCTGTCTATACCTCTCATGATATTGTAGACCTCAATCAGGTCCCCCCTCAACCTCCGTCTTTCTAATGTAAATAATCCTAATCTACTCAACCTCTCTTCATAGCTAGTGCCCTCCATACCAGGCAACATCCTGGTGAACCTCCTCTGCACCGTCTCCAAAGCATTCACATCCTTTTGGTAATGTGGCGACCAGAACTGTACGCAGTATTCCAAATGTGGTCAAACCAAAGTCCTATACAACTGTAACATGACCTGCCAACTCTTGTACTCAATACCCCGTCCGATGAATGAAAGCATGCCGTATGCCTTCTTGACCACTCTATCGACCTGCGTTGCCACCTTCAGGGTACAATGGATCTAAACACCCAGATCTCTCTGTGCATCAATTTTCCCCAGGGCTTTTCCATTTACCGTATAGTTCGCCCTTGAATTGGATCTTCCAAAATGGATCACCTCGGATTTGCCTGGATTGAACTCCATCTGCCATTTCTTCATGCAACTCTCCAATCTATCTCGATTCTGCTGCATTCTCCGACAGTACCCTTCACTATCTGCTACTCCACCAATCTTAGTGTCATCTGCAAACTTGCTAATCAGACCGTCTATACCTTCCTCCAGATCATTTATGTATATCACAAACAACAGTGGTCCCAACATAGATCCCTGTGGAACACCACTGGTCATAGTTCTCCATTTTGAGAGACTCCCTTCCACTACAACTCTGTCTCCTGTTGCCCAGCCAGTTCTCTATCCATCTAGCTAGTACACCCTGGACCCCATGCGACTTCACTTTCTCCATCAGCCTACCATGGGGAACCTTATCAAATGCCTTACTGAAGTCCATGTATATGACATCTACAGCCCTTCCCTCATCTATCAACTTTGTCACTTCCTCAAAGAATTCTATCAAGTTGGTAAGACATGACCTTCCCTGAACAAAACCATGCTGCCTGTCACTAATAAGCCCATTTTCTTCCAAATGTAAATGGATCCTATCCCTCAGTATTTTCTCCAGCAGCTTCCCCACCACTGACGTCAGGCTCACCAGTTTATAATTACCTGGATAATCCTTGCTACCCTTCTTAAACAAGGGGACAACATTAGCAATTCTCCAGCCCTCCGGGACCTCACCTGTGCTCAAGGATGCTGCAAAGATATCTGTTAAGGCCCCAGCTATTTCCTCTCTCGCTTCCCTCAGTAACCTGGGATAGATCTCATCCAGACCTGGGGACTTGTCCACCCTAATGCCTTTTAGAACACCCAACACTTCCCCCCTCCTTATGCCAACTTGTCCTAGTGTAATCATAGAGTAGTCATAGAGGTCTACAGCCCTTTGAACCTGCGCTGATCAAAAACAACTACCTAACTATTCTAATGCCATTTCCTAACATGAAGAAAGGTCTAGGCCCGAAACGTCAGCCTTCCTGCTCCTCTGATGCTGCTTGGCCTGCTGTGTTCATCCAGCTCTACACCTTGTTATCCCAGATTCTCCAGCATCTGCAGTTCCTACTATCTCTGACCCATAGTCTTGTATGCTTTGGCATCGCAAGTTCATATCTAATACTTGTTAAAGTTGTGAGGGCTTTTGCCTCTATCACCGTTACAGGCAGTGTGTTCCAGATTTGTCCCCCCACGCTATGGGTGAAAGAAAATTTCCTCACACCCCATTTAAACCTCCTAGACCTTACCGTAAATCTATGTCCCCTGTCATTGATCTCTCCACCAAGGGGAAATGTTTCTTCCTGTCTAGTCTGTCTATGCCCCACATAATTTTATATATCTCAATCATGCCCCCCTCAGACTGCTCTGCTCCAAGTCTACACAATCTTTCTTCATAACTAAAACTCTCCAGCCTAGGCACATCCTGGTAAATCTCTTCTGTTCCTTCTCCAGTGCTATCACACCCCTCCTACAACGTAGCTCCTATAATGTGTAGAGTTGGGTCAAAATCCTGGAACCCTCTCTCTAATCGGAGCACCTTCAGCACATGGACAGCTCTCGTTGCAGAAAGTGTTTCTTTGAAGACAGCATTTAGATTGACCCAGCCAGTGACAGCAGGAAGGGAGCACTGGATAATCAGTGGTGCTGTTTTTAGGTGAGATGTTAATCCAGCTGCCCTTTACTGTGGACATAAAGAACCCCATGGCATTGGAGAGGAACAGGAGAGTAATCTGTGGTGTCCAGGCCAACATTTATCTCTGAACCAACATACCTATAACAGGTGATCTGATCATTTTCTCCTGTGGGATCCTACTGTGGGCTGCCTGGTTACCATTGACCTCCGTCAGTGCAACAGTGACAAGACTTCAAAGGTTAGCTCAGTGGTTTCAAAGGCACTTTGGCACTTCCCAAGGGAGGGTGTGAATGATGCTAAATAAATTCAAGCCCATTCCTCCCTCTTTCTGAAGGGTCATCAGGAACAGACAATAAATACCAGCCTTTCCCAGGGACTCCCACATCCCAATTAAAAATAAAATAATAAGCATCTGATATTCAGACCTCAGAGTAAGGCAGGGCAGCCAATTTGGTTTCTTCATGAGTGAAGGATCGATTTGAAGCAATGTAACAGAAGCATTTGAAGTGATGATGATTTAGAGACAGCTGCAATGAATACTTTATCATGGAGGGGGGATGTTCTAAATGTATAGCCTGTTAGCCTGGTCGGTGAAAGCTCTCCTGTCTGCACTCATTAAGTACTGCAAACATAGTGAAACATTAGCTGTCCCGTGGTGATATTTGCCACTTCATTCCCTTTACTCATGACCTTTGCTGCCTGTTTGCATGAAATCTTTCCCACATTTCAAATAAAATTGCTTTGGGAAACCTGCAGCCTACCCCAGCCAGCCCTGCAATCGTTTAACTGGGAGTAAAGAGCCGCACAGACTCAGCTGGTGAGGTTGTGATCTGTCAGGCTCTGAGGGAGTAGCAGACATTCACTGCATAATAATAGAAAGTAAGAAAAGGATTTATGGTGCATTTACAGGACAGCAGAAAGCCATTTGACCCAAAAGGCCAAGCTGAATTTGCATTTACATTGTACCTTTGACAGCCTTCGGACATCTCAAAGTACTTACAGCAGATAAATTTTATTTGAAGTGTAGTTCTTTTTATTTACTAGTGGGACGTGGACATCACTGGCTGGGTCAGAATTTATTGCCTGTCTCTAGTTGTCCTTGAGTAGGTGGTGGTGAGCTGCCTTCTTGAACTGCTGTGACCATATGGGTTGACCTGCAATGCCCTTACGGAGAGAATTCCAGGATTTGGACTCAGCGACAGTGAAGGAATGGCGATATATTTCCAAGTCAGGATGCTGAGTGGCTCGAAGGAGAACTTGCAGGTGGTGATATTTCCATTAATCTGCTGCCCTGGTCCTTCTAGATGGAAGTGGTCGTGAGTTTGGAAGGTACTGTCTAAAGATCACTGGTGAATTTCTGCAGTGCATCCTGTAGATAGTACACACTTGCTGCTACTGAGCGTTGGTGGTGGAGAGAGTGGATGATTGTGGATGTGGTGCCAATCAAGTGGGCTGCTTTGTCCTGGACGGTGTCAAGATTCTTGAGTGTTGTTAGAGCTGCACCCATCCAGGCAAGTGGGGAGTATTCCATCACACTCCTGACTTATGACTTGTAGATGGTGGACAGGCTTTGGGGAGTCAGGACGTGTGTTGTTTGCTGCAGTATTCCTAG